AAATGTTCACGCAAAGAAAGAAGGCGTGGTTTCAGGAACAGCAGTAGTGTTGATGCAGCATGTCAGGGAGATACTGTGTGTTTCTGTGCGAAAGCAAAAGCACTTGATTTGGCCTCTCGACAGTAGATGCAATGAGGAATCGTTAGTTAAGATTTATTTACAACAGAACAGCACAACCCAGATGTTCGAATTTGTGCAATGCATTTTTTTGCAGGACAGTTTTGTGAACCTAGGAAAGTAGCCTACAAGGCTGGCTGTGCAAAGGCTATTTAAAAAAAAAATGGGTCAATTCCGACTTTGCTATGACAATCTGGTGCTTATTCTGAATCAGCTACTGTAAGTATGTATTCTTAATAGTTCAAGTATTTGCTATTGACTGTTCAAATGTGGAGTTTTGCGCCGTGTAGAGTATTGTGTCGTGTGTGTGTGTGCATGTGTGAGAGAGACAGGGTCACATCACAGTGGAGTCAGCTTTCTTAATCGCGGCTTGTGTACTGCAAATACAAACGAGCATCATCATTGTGTCTGTCACGCGACTCTGTTGCCCTTTGGGGCTTGAACTGATGGTAAAACTAAGGACATTATGCACTGTCTTTACATTTATGTTGAAAGCTGAAGCTCGCGGTTATGGAAAGGGGCGTTACATTTCCGACGCGTGCTTGTGGTGTTCGGCCAATCACAATGCACTGGGTCAGCTGGCCAATCAGAGCAGACTGTGCTTGTCGGAAGGAGGGGCTTTGTAGAAAATGGCTCGTTTGAGAGAGGCGGGGCATAGAGGAGCTACAATAATGTACAGTATTTGAAAAATAATGTGTTTTTTAAACATTAAAGCATGTCAACATATTCTGTTACACCACATATACAAAATAATGATCTTTAAAACAGCATCATATGACCCCTTTAAATCGATTAATCTAACAATTAGAACGATTAATCGACTAATCGGTGATTATTTCACTTATTAATCAATGGACTTTTATTGATTATTCAGCTTTTGCAATTAGTTAAAATATTGAGTTATATGAATTAAATTGAGTTCTAACAAATATATAAAGGTAATCACTTCAGCTTTTGAAAATCATTTGTAATTACAATTATTATACAATTAATTTATATAAATATATATATGAATGACGAAATGATTCATTCACCATTTAATCTGATATATGAAAAAGTAACTGAATGACACATCATTCTGCCTAACGTCTCCTTTTGTAAGTCATATGGATAAGAAACAAAATAAAGGTAAGTGATAAGACGTTTTATTTTTGGATAACTATTTTATTCACAACATAATCTCTCTTAAAATACTATATGGGTTATGATAATCAAAACAGTCCTGAGCTAGATCAAGCTTTGAACTCTGCAAACCAAACTATCACTTTAATGAAATATAAAGTTTTTAAAAAACACTAATAAAATGATTTTATCATTAGCCCAACACTGCTTTATAACAGAAAATCTAGTTGTAATTCTAACTGAAAGCAACACTGACTCTGGTTTTTCATGTTTAATACTGTAAAGCTGCTTGATTTAAGGCTATCTATTGCATAAAGTACTAAGTTATATAAATAAACGTGACATGACTGGACTTTACTGGAGTACCGAACTGCAGAGCTCATGCAAACATCCACATCGCTGTAATCAGACGCGTTTTTAACTGCTGCTTTCTCAACGCTGTCAGTTTTTGTGGTGTTTATTTTATTGAGAGGAAAGCACACAGCATATATTTACTTATTCATCCAAATGCTGCTCAGCAGGTTCAGTTTTTTTCACAAAGCTATAAGCAGATTCCTTTATAAAAATAACATTTTCCAAATAATATTTTAAAAAAGAAAAAAACTTATTTGTAAAAATGTATTAAAAAGTAAATATATTTTTACCAGAAAACATTTCAAGAAATCTGCATTGTTTTGTAAAATAAATAAATAAAGTTTTTTTGTTTGTTTTCTTATTGTTAAAAAAGTTTGTTTTCTTATTGTTAAAAGCTTGACAGTGCAACAAAATAATTGCAATTATCTCATAATGTCAGTGTCTTCAGAGAGCAGAATAAAATAATAATTTTAATGAATTGCTATTTTAGTTATCAAATTTACTAAATATGAATGTAGAAATACACCTAATTCAGAAGCTGTT